AGTGAGGTGAAGGATGAAGATAAGAGAATGCAGGCAAAAGACATGTAAAGTACGACAAGAAAGAAAAGAGGAGTGACAAAATGGTGAGATTCGGCATAGCGTTGTTAAGATGAGGATAATGTGTGTATACATCTGCGCCACTGACTTCGAATCTCAGCCATTTCACCTACAGTCAGTCTCCAACCACTGGTTCCTCTTGTCCCGCCGACCCCAACCACCTAGTCTGCATCGCCGCACATGGCTTAAACCAACAGTCAGAGACTTCATACATTGGTGCCATGTTTTAGTCTGGCCACCTCGGGTCTTTTTCCAGCCTGCACCCACCTCAGCCAACATTGTGTGACGAGGAAATCGGTGACTGGGCATACGTAGTACGTGTCCCAACCATCTCAGTCGATGAAGGTTCATAACCTCGTCAACTGACTTACTTCTACTCCCTAAAACTCTACTCCTGACTTCTGCATTATTCACAGGATGACATTACGGAATACGGCGGCCTATACTACGAAGGCAACGGTGGTCAAACACTTGAAGCCTTATTACATCTTTATCTATGTGATTATATTGATTGTAATAATATCAACATTGGATTACCTACAAACCACCTAAAACAACTGATATTGAGATGTACATTTAGTGTACAGTTTAGATTCAGTGAAATAATTTATAGTCAAACGGACAGAGTCACTATGGGGTCTACACTAGGCCCTGTTCTGGCTGATATCTTTATGGTAAAGCTCGAAAATGAGCTACTCAAAGAAATTACCTCGGAACTTTATTTGCGTAAAAGGTACATCGACGATACCTTTCTTATTTGCGACAAAACATGTTCAGTGGACGAGCTACTAAGACGTTTCAATGATTGTCAGCCATCCATTAAATTCACTGCAGAGGAAGAGTTAAACTCATCGTTCCACTTTATAGGCTAACGGTAAAGAGAAGGGATGACGGCTTGATTTAAAGGTCAGTCTATCGGAAACCTACCTGGTTCGGCTAGTTCACTAACTTTAATAGTTGGGTACCCCTTAATTGTGTTCCAGAATCTATAAAATGTGTTTGGAAGACACGGTGGATGCTGAAATCGAAACTCTTAGAACCACACTATCTAATAACAGATACATTAAACGATTTATTGATAAGAATCTGAAGAAACAAATCACTCCCCATCCCATTACAGTCCCTAAGAAAATCTTAATCATGAATTTAGAATTTAAAGGAGACACCACATATGAAGTGCCGAAAAATCGTCCGTCGAGGTGCATCAGTAGTACCTTGTTTGCTACTAGATTGAGACTGATATTCTCCAGCCGCCTTCTAATTCGTCAGTGTGTGAAGGATAGGCTTTCACTTATGTCCACATCTAGGTGTATCTGCAAGTTCACAAGCTCCTGTGGAACTGACTGTATTGGACGTTGTAAGAAGGCCCTCCAAAAACGTGTAGCTGAACATTATCAAATGAGAACAAAGGAAAATGATTTCATCCATATGTGAACACCTTGTTGAATTAAGTCTCCAGCACCTCAAGATTCATCCTTTAAAGAAATTTACAAAGTTAAATTGAACTACCCCATAGGTTTACGTTCCCATCACTTATGATGTAAAGCTGAAGTATTAGGTATACATGAACAAAAACCGAAACTTTGCATTCAGAAATGTTTTATGAAACCTGTTTCTCTACATTGGCCTTAACCATTCACTTTAGTTATTTTGTCAATTTCATTCCACTTCTCTTTATTATTATTATTATTATTATTATTACCAATTGTCACTTCATTGACAACATTTGACTCATATTTCGCTATTAAATATCAATTCATTCCTCATTCATTGACCTATCTTGCATGTTTCAGCTTAATTATCACCGATATAGGTGTAAAACTTGGGCAGTTTGGTAGGATTTAATTCGATATTAGGTTTGTTTGTTTGATTTATAACACATAGTAATCTAGTACTATTCACTGGATGACGTTTCAAGCATCAATTATTATTGCTAACCATCACATCAATGTAATCACACTCCATTTTCGATATTCAATTTTTATAGTTATGTCACTTTATATGAGTTGTTTTTATTGGTAGCAAAATTTTCCATATCTCTGGTATGCATGGGTGTTGAGTCATTTTTATTACATGTGTTGACTGCTGGCTGATTCGATGAACAAAGATTCTGTAATCAATCCCTCTCTCTCTACCTAATTATATTGGACTTAAGTACAGTGGCTCTATCCCAACTATCCTATTGTGTGGTTGTGTGTTAATTCATGCATAGCTGTAGCCGAGTTTTTTCTAGATTATTGATCTTATTTAGGTCTGTCATTCTATATTTAGCTAAATTCGGCTATTCTAACTGACGTCGACCGACTAGTTTGACCTATGTAGTTGACCTCACAGTCATTACATGGTATTTGAGATTACATTATTTTGCTTAATTGGTTCTATCGGATCCTTAAGCCGACAAAGTTGATCTCTGAGTGAGTTTGTTGGTTTAAATGCCACCCTGATTCCAGTCCTGTTGAGGATTATACATAAAGTTTCTGAGGTACCCTTCTCATAAGGTAACACAATGGAGGCTGTGAACTCCTTTTTACTCGTGTTGTCGTTATTAGTCACACTCGTGTGACTGTTGTTTTTTCTTTTTTTGACTGTCCTTAAGAATTTCTTGATAAACTGCGGAGGATAATAATTAACTATAGAGCTTCTTTTATGTGGTTGAATTCCTTGTTTAGGTTCTTGCACTGATTAGTCAGTTTTCTAGCTCTTTCATTTAGACATTTTACTAATCCTGCCTTAACTGATACTGGATGGGATGATTTGAAGTCTAGGTACCTGTTGGAATGTGTTGGTTTTCTGTAGACAGTAGTATCCAAGCCACCGTCTGTTCTTCGTTTCATTCTGCAATCCAACATAGGTAATTCTCCTTGTTCGTTTTCTACCTCGTAGGTGAATTGGATGGTGCCTACTACTGAGTTTATAAATGTGAGGAAATTGTCGATATGTTCCGATTTCAACACAGTAAATGTATCATCCACAAATCACCACTGTATTTCTGGTGAGGGACTAAATGTTTGAAAAGCCATGTTTTCCCTACTATCCATAAATATATCTGCTACGATTGGGGATATTGGCGATCTCATTGTTACTACTGCCGTTAATCTGTATATTTTGTCGTGAAACTTGAAGACTGTGGAGGTCAGGTATAACCGTATGCCTAATATAGTCATATCAACCGATAGATTAGTTCTGAGTGAATACTTAGTTGACTTCTGACTGCCTCTAATGCCATATTGATTGGTATTTCAGTATACAGACTAGTTACATTGAAGCTAACCATTTTTTCAGCCTCTTCTATCTGTAGATCATTAAGTCTAAGTTTTTACTCGTAAGAGTTTACTAGTCTGGAATTTGAACGGTTCCTAATAGGGCATAATATCGAAGCTAAGTACTTTGCTAGTTTATATGTTGGGGTATTTCTGAAGTCAACTATGGGTCTAATGGGATAACCTGGTTTATGAACCTCAATAGGGCCATAAATTCTGCTAGTATTATTAGTTTCAGGCATTAAATTAAACCGTTCAGACTTGCCTAGAGATGGTTTTAGTTGATGTAACAGATTGGCTGTAGATTTCATGATTTTATTCATGACCGTGTCTAAGGGTATGTTGATTTCTTTATATGGCACTGTTTGAATGTGCCCGTCAATTTTGTTGAAGTAATCCAATTTGTCTACAACTACTGTCTAATGTCATACAAACTCAAAGATCTACGGGTAAAAACTAACAAGTTGACAGAAGAGATGAGGTAGTGAAGAAGGGACTTCAAGTGAATGTAGAGAAGAAAGAGAGGATGAATATGCCCAATCAACAACAACAACAACCATCTCCAATCACCATCAGTAGGAGAAACTTAAACTAAGTAGCCTCTTCCACCCACCACCTAGGCAGCACTGTTTCAATTACAGGCGGCGCTGCCACAGACGAGGATGTCAAAGTGGCCAGGATCGGAAAGACAGCAAGACAGGCTTTCATTAGCCTGAAACCAGTGTGGAGATCTTCTGCACTCCACTCAGCATAAAGCGTGAACAACATCCGGATTTTCAATACTAATCCAGTCAACTCAGTGCTTCTCTGTGATAGTTGAGAGACTTGGTGGCGAGTTACGAAAGGCATTTCCAACAAACTACAGATATTCATCAACCGTTGCTGCCTACATTGGCTTGTTACTGAAGATCAGATGGATTGCCAGAATAACAAGAATAAGCAACAAGGAACTCTGGCTGGTTGGCTGGCTGATAACGAAGTAACCAAGAGTCTATCTCTCAACAAAATGCAGAAGGAAGTGGAGATGGATTGGGCATACACTGAGGAGACCTACTGGGGACGTCACACGACAGGCCAGCCCATTGAGTGGAATCCAGATGGGAAACGACGAGTTGGGCGTCTGAAGCGACAGTGACATGGAGAAGATCATGTGAGGAAGAAATGAGAGTTTGTGGGCTGTCGTGGAGCCAGGTTGAAGAGACTGCAGAGAAGAGAGTGGAATGGAGATGTGCTACTGAATCCCTATGTTCCGTTAGGAACCCAAGGGACAAATAATGATATAGATAAATATTGTTGAATTGCCGTTATCAGACTTAACACTTACCATATTATTGTCATTCCGTAGACTATTCAGCGCTGAATTTTCAAGTCTTGTTAAGTTCCACTGTCTTTTCTTTTATCTGTTAAGTGTTAACGCATATTGTACTCTAACCTGTTTTAGCTGTTACCGCATCTACCGAGCATTAACGCTACTTCTATCACCATTTTAGAATTCTTTGACAGTATACGTCTCTTATCTCACTACATGTTAATCAATTCGTCCTTCCTTATTCACAGTGACCCATTTCCTATTTCTTCCACTTGAACTATCACTTACATCGATTACATATGTTGTATATTCACTAAACAACTCATTTTACTGTAATTATCTGTCATTTTACCGAGTATAAATACCACTGTACAGCTTGACATAATGAAGTTGTTGAAAAGAAATACTTCTCCTCCTTTCTATTCATCATTGATATATATCTTGTTCTTATTCATGAATAAATAGGGTGTATTTCGTCAGTAAAATTATTGTTGTTAATTTTTTTTTATATATAAAAGAACAATACAAAGAAATGTACTTCAATATAGCAACAAGAAAACTTTACAATATAAATTGATTTCATGCTTGTTTATTTGCTAGTCTGTTTCATTTCAACTTCATTTAAAACTTACTGTATATTCATATTGTGTCATGACAAAATTTTATCATTGATATGAGATATTTATCACGAAGACGATAATGATGATGATAAGTTGAAAAAAGCTTCTTTTCAATAAATCATTGATAACAATATCATATCAAATTAGATTGATTTATATAAAAGGATTGAACGATTTCCAAGAAAAAGTATATAAACTTATTTGCTTCATGCGATACAAAACTGTAAAGTAAACCATAAAAATGATAGGAGTAGTAAAAGTATAATTAATTAACTATGAATAATGTTATAAATCTGATGACTTTGAAGTTTGATAATCAATTTGTTGGCGATTATCGATGACAGGAGAAAATTAACAAGTTGATAGAAGAGATGAGGCAGTGAAGAAGGGACTTCAAGTAAATGTAGAGAAGAAAGAGGTGATGAAGGTGCCCAACCAACAACAACAACAACAACAACCATCTCCAATCACCACCGGCGGGAGAAACTTAAACTAAGTAGCCTCTTTCACCCACCACCTAGGCAGCACTGTTTCAATTACAGGCGGCGCTGCCACAGACGAGGATGTCAAAGTAGCCAGGATCGGAAAGACAACAAGACAGGCTTTCATTAGCCTGAAACCAGTGTGGAGATCTTCTGCACTCCACTCAGCATAAAGCGTGAACAACATCCGGATTTTCAATACTAATTCAGTCAAGTCAGTGCATCTCTGTGATAGTTGAGAGACTTGGTGGCGCGTTACGAAAGGGATTTCCAATAAACTACATATATTCATCAACCGTTGCTGCCTACATTGGCTTGTTACTGAAGATCAGATGGATTGCCAGAATAACAAGAATAAGCAACAAGGAACTCTGGCTGGTTGGCTGGCTGATAACGAAGTAACCAAGAATCTATCTCTCAACAAACATGCGGTAGGGAGTGTAGATGGATTGGGCATACACTGAGAAGGCCGATTGGGGACATCACGCGACAGGACAAGCCGTAGACTGGAACCTAGATGGGACACGACTAGTTCTGCGTCCCAGCTGAGGATGATATGAGGGAGATCATGTGAGGAAGAAACGAGAGCTTGTGGGCTGTCGTGGCGTCAGGTTGGAAAGATTGCATAGAAGAGAGTGGACTGGCGACGTGTTACTGAATCCCTGTGTTCGACTAGGAGCCAAAGGGATAAATAATAAGTAATAATCAGTGACATTCATATTGACTGGTGTCAGTCAATATGAGTACCAACTTGAAAAGACATCTCTGAATCCCCATAAACCCCGAAATTCAATTGAAGCAATGCTCATTGTTGACTGGTTTCGAGAGGTGATTCCTGAAGTTCCAGTGAGAAGTCGTGATTAGTGAAGCAAACCTGCTGGTCATGAGAACAAATCCTCAACGACGACATTGAATGGCAGTCACGCTATATCGTTAACTGACAGAAGTTGAAAATATTGACCATTGGATTCTGACTCAGTGGCTCAATGGTAACGTATCGGCCAGGGAACCTGAAGGTCGCAGGTTGGATCCCTGATATGAAGGGTTTGTAGGTGCACACAGCTCGAAAGTCCCATACTGGGATGAAACAACTGTCCAGTGCTTCCAAATCTTCACTGTTCCTTCAACTGATATCAGTCAAAGATGAATACCAACTTAAAAAGCTTTCACATGGTTGGTATCCAACTGTTGATTATACCACTTTTGTGTTCTGGTATTATACTTGTATCAAATATATTGGTCGGCCTAAGCCACCAAGTCAGTAGGATCTTAGATAGACAGATAGATCTATGTAAAGCCTTATACAAAAGAAAGAATCATTTCAAGTTATCGTCAGCATAAAATTCTGTTAAATAACTGTAGTAACTAAATGGACAATATATATTTTCGGTATAATTGAATCTCAAGGAACAATCGATTCAAGCAGTATAGTTCTTTAGGCCAATGAGATAAGCCTGTTCATATGACCACTATGTTAAAATAGTAACTAACCGTCAGGCGATAGAATTTCACAAGTCGTTGAATAAGTGAGTAGTTTATTTTTTTAAAAGCTTGTTACAGAATTGCTCACCAGTGCCCCGATTACAATGATATCAACATTTCAAATCTGGAACATAGGCATCCTTACAGACGCCCGACAATAGCAGTATTTCTCGACCTGAAGGCGGCATTTGACTCCGTTGATCGAGAAGTCTTATGGCAATGTCTGTCACTGAAAGGCGTGCCTAGTAAGTACATCACCTTATTGAAAGCTCTCTACTCGAACAATTGTGGGCATGTTAGAGCCTATGGCGAGTTGTCCAGGGAGCTATACTCATCAAGTGGTGTCCGTCAAGGACGCCCACTATCCCCATTCTTATTTAATTTTATCATAGATATTCTTATGGAGGTTTCCCTCTCGTCACCTGATTACACAGACGTTGACCCGATCACAGGTGAATTTTCTTTAGATCTAGATTATGCAGATGACATAGTCCTGTCAGGTGAAGACGCTGACAAGATGCAGAGTCTTCTGAACACTTTGAGTGGGAATTTGAGAATGTTTGGGATGCGATTTTCACCACCCAAATGCAAATTTTTGCTCCAGGACTGGTCTTCAGCGGTACCGCGGTTAACAATAGAGAGTGAAGTGGTTGAGTGTGTTGACCACTTCACTTACCTGGGAAGTAGGATCAACCCCGGTGGGTTAGTTGCCGATGAGATTTCGGCACGGATACAAAAGGCTCGATTGGCTTTTGCCAATTTGCGCCACCTATGGCGCCGCCGTGATATTCGTTTGTCTATTAAGGGTCGCGTGTACTGCACAGCAGTCCGCTCTGTTCTACTGTATGGCTGTGAAACATGGCCACTGAAAGTGGAGGATACAAAAAGGCTTCAGGCGTTTGACCACCGTTGCCTTCGTAATATAGGACGTATTCCGTGGTGTCACCACATGAATAATGCAGAAGTTAGGTGTAGAGTTTTGGGGAGAAGAGGTAAGTCAGTTGACGAGGTTGTGAACCCTCAACGACTGAGATGGTTGGGACACGTACTACGTATGCCCAGTCACCGATTGCCTCGTCACACAATGTTGGCTGAAGTGGGTTCAGGCTGGAAAGAGGCCCGAGGTGGCCAAACTAAAACATGGCACCAATGTATGAAGTCTCTGACTGTTGGTTTAAGCCATGTGCGGCGATGCAGACTAGGTGGTTGGGGTCGGCGGGACAAGAGGAACCAGTGGTTGGAGACTGACTGTAGGTGAAATGGCTGAGATTCGAAGTCAGTGGCGCAGATGTATACACACATTATCCTCATCTTAACAACGCTATGCCGAATCTCACCATTTTGTCACTCCTCTTTTCTTTCTTGTCGTACTTTACATGTCTTTTGCCTGCATTCTCTTATCTTTATCCTTCACCTCACTACCTTTTTGCTTGATATGAGGTGTGACAACTCGGACCGTTAAGCAGTAATGCCTGGTCCTATGTTGATAATGATGATGATTCAAATCTACGAGATATAAAGAACTTCCCGGTTACTGAATATATATCTTACTAACAACTACTTTGACTGAAACTTAAAGATTCACTTATGTAGCATTAATCATCGCATAGAACCCAATGTGATGATTCGTCATCCAATCTTTATGCTGTACACAATTCTCCATTTTTATGTTATACCAAATGAATGTTAGATATATAAACCAAACAAATGCTAAGCAGTCACAACTTAAACAAACACACTAGAAAAGAGCAGAAACTGATAGAATCACTGAATTCATCTATGTAATATGCTGTAAAAGAGACACTGTCTACAGATTTGCTTATCATACACATATGCAGTGAAGATTAACAAATGTTTAGGTTAAATGAATGAACTAAATTAGACGATGAGTTTCATACGATTGACTTGATTCATGAATTCGAATTAATCAATTGTTGGTTGGTAAAGAAACTAGTTCTCATCATACATTAATATCACCTTTAAAAAAACCACTAGAAAATAGCAAGCACTGAACGAATGTTTCGTCCCAATTCAGAACTTTTCAGGAGTACTCACCTATGACTTTAAAAGCAACCGAGTCAGAGAGATGATTATTATTCAGTCACGAGGTTGTAATTCAGCATTTCACTGTCTCCTGTTTCTTTCACATAGTGATACAAAGCAATCACCATCATCACTTCTGATAATGACCTATCACAACATCAGTGGTGTGCACAATGAAACCTCCCAGTCTGAAACGAAACCACTACTCAAAACTCTAAGGTTCCAGCTTGTTCTTCAGCTTATTTTAACCTATAACGAGAACCACTGTAACGTTAGCTACATGTATGATTTCTCATGCTGACAGTGATTTACATTTACTGTTAAGTATACAAATCGAAAAGGGATGGCTGCTCCTTCAGAATAATTTCAACCTTGAAATCAATCAATCCCCATAAACCACCGACTAAGCTATTTACACTACCCACTAGTAACTTACTTGGAGATGAATTTCCCAGACTCATACAGAAACATTGTGAGTTATAGGGTTAACTAAGTCAAGAATGAGGTGGATATTCATGGATAACACTAAACGAACCAACTGAAAGTACTAAGAAATAGTGAATCATTGGATTGCTACCCAATAGCTGAATCTTAGCGAGTTCGCTATATGATCTAACAGTTTACGGGTGCGTAGTCCTGAGGAAGTTTTAAGTAGCAGCGAAACGAATATCCAGTTTTTCGATGTTTTCAGTGGTTGATGTCATTCTGTGATGTTAATTATTTTCAGCTTAAACAAATTAAACACACACGTGCACATACTACTCAACTGTTTAATACTGCCATACTTCAAGGAAAAGTATATATATATATATATATATATATATATATATATATATATATATATATATATATATATATTGAACAAGTATTGCCTTGTATTCGGATTTTATGGTATCTCCTCGCTTACTCATCCACTGTGCACAGACGAAGAGGAATACAACATAAATACATGGAAACGTTATTTACATACCTGAATAACTAAGAGAAAGGTAGTTCACTAGAAAAATGGATAACAAGAGAAATCGTATAGATAAGACAATTTGAATATAAGAAATTCTTGAATAGCTCTAAAGTTATTCAGTTTCTAACTAATCAGATAGTGGAACATTTCAGAGGTGAAAAAAGTTTAATAGTAAGAAGACAAGGCTGAAATTTACTTCATCAATTGTAGTGACTGTAGTAAAACTTATGGATACTAACAAACCATCATCTGCCCATAGATGAAATGTTAACTGCATTAGGTTTAGACTGAGATAATTTCTAAGATAGTTAGAGCAAAATATAGTATCAACCCAAGAAGTATTATTATTATTAATATCAGTCCCTTGGGTTCCTAGTGGAACATAGAGCTTCAGTAGCACGTCTCCAGTAAACTCTGTTCTCTGAGATCTTTTGAACCTGGTTCCACGACAGCCCAGAAGCTTTCATTTCCTCCTCACACGATCTCCTCCATGTCACCCTCAGCTGGGACACCCAACTCCTCGTTCCCCTTCTGGGTTCCATTCGAGTGCCTGGCCTGATGCGTGATGTCCCCAGTCGGTCTTCTCAGTGTCTGCCCAATCCATCTCCACTTCCTCCTGCATATTTGTTGAGTCATAGGTTGTTGGTTGGTTCGTTCCCAGAGCTCCTTGTTGCTTATTCTTGTTATTCTGGCAATCCATCTGATCTTCAGTAACAAGCCAATGTAGGCAGTTGTTGATGAATATCTGTAGTTTATTGGAAATCCCTTTCGTGACGTGCCAAGTCTCTGAGCCATACAGAAGCAATGACTTGACGTTGGTGTTGAAAATCCGGATCTTGTTCCATATGCTGAGTGCAGAAGATCTCCACACTGATTTCAGGCTAATGAAAGCCTGTTTTGCTTTTCCGATTCTCACTTTGACATTCTCGTCTGTGCCTATGGCGCCTGTAGTTGAGACAGTGCTTCCTAGATAGGTGAAGGAGGTTACTTCCTTTAAGTTTCTCCCGTTGGAGTTTGTTGTTGTTGTTGCAGTTGTTGGTTGGGTATCTTCATCACTTCTGTCTTCTCTATATTCACTTGAAGTCCCGTCTTTGCTGCCTCTCCTGCCAACTTGTTGGTTTTTGTCTGTAGATCTTCAAGTTTATGTGACATCAAGCACAGGTCACCGGCGAAATCCAAGTCTTCTAGGTTCTTTTCCGCAGTCCAGCCAGCGCATCCCCCTCTTCTCGCTGCCCATTGTTTGCCGCATGATCCAGTCCACCACCCAAGAAGTATATGACAGTCAATTTGAGCTATGTAGGAGAATGTAGACTTCTCGACTGGGACACTAAGATTGATGGTTGATTTAATTGACTTTTCTTCCATGGATTAGCATTGCCTACCACTCTTTACAGAAGTAGCAATAGCAGACAAAGAAGAAGTAGATTGAAAATGAATTTAAGTGAAGAAAGTACACAGGAGGAGAAATGATAAATTAATGAAAGTTAACAGAAGATTACCGAAAAAGTAGATGGTAAGGGGGTGTATACAATATGCGTTATCATTTCTGATTTTTAACACTATGTCAAACAGTCCCTAGTCACTGACCTTTAATTTTCACCTTTGAACATTAGTCAAACCAACAATCTAATACTTGATGGATTGAATTTCTCGAATGTTTCAGAATCTGTTTACAAGAATATTCAATGTCTTTGGCCTTTAAAAAATGCTTATTAAATTTAGCCATATATGTTAAAATGCTTGTTTTCTTACAGCCTGTTTATAGTCAACCAGAAAACAAAGGAACACTTTGAATTCATCATTAACTGCACAACTTGTTCACTTTATTATAAAACAACAAGTTTTTCAATCGTATAACAAAATACTTGAAAGACTGATGGATACTTTTTATGTCATTTACAAAATTTATTGAAAATGTAACCTCATATTTGCGAAAGTTTTAGTTATAAGTATGACAACCTGAGAAGATTGTGGTTTAGCAGACTTTTATTTATATTAGATGATAATTAGGGTTGGACTTAAGACCTGCGCTTCGGTAGGTCACTAGTTCCAATTGTTCTGAAGCCCAGATTTACATTCTTACTTGTTGGTTGTAATTGTGTTCACTGAGCTGAGTTGTTCAATCGTGAAGCTTTCATCGTCTTTCTAGACGACTTCATACTGAGGTTAGTACTGATGAAGACATCTGGAAAGACGATGAAAGCTCCACAATTAAACAATCCAGCAGTGAAAGCCTAATACAACCGAGATTATCCACCTGAGCTACAAAATATTCTCCATATTCCTATTTCAATAATCACCCAGTATCAGTAGAAGTCTCAGTTATTGAAAATAAGTTTAAATAGCCTCTATACTTTGAAAGATAGTTTGCTATAATGCTGAATAATTTCTTGGTAGATTATGGTTGAAAGCTGAAGTTCAAGGGCTGTTCTTTACCTTTTTTTGTACAGGTATTCTTATTTCGTCTTTAATTCACCCGGTAAATTGGATATCATTTCATTTTATCACAACTTGACTAATGACAAACTTTTCGACAAATCTCTATGACAAATGAACACACCATAATATCATAGTAATGATGAATGGTGGCTAGCAGTGGAATCCAGGATGAGCATTTCGTCCTGTTTAGGATGCGTCAGCTGGATGTACCTGCCCCCAGTGAGTGATGTTGTTCCCACCAGGGTTCGTACTTGAGAGCAATCGCTTCAAATGTCAAGGCGTTATCCATTACACCATCGAGCTACGATAGCCAATTCTTGTGAGACAAGTGTAGTTTTAGTATAATTGCTTATATCATATCGTCGTTGATTGGACTGAGCAGTTATACTAAAATATCATGAAACTGTCTGTGAGATATTGAATAAGGACATTACACGATTCAGTTCGCACGCCTTCTAGTTATCCAACTCAAAAACATTAAAACACATGGAAAATAACGAAGCGAAATAGATACGACAATCTTACCTACAATAAGGAACTATAAAAATAGAAAGAATATCAAGTAGATGTTTAGATTATTATGATCTACCCTTTTAACACGACGATATAGATTGAATTGCTTACTTACCCTACCGATATTCCTTTATTCATCTATCCAGCTCATATCTTTCCCAAATCGCTTTAACTTTCTCATAGGTTGTCTTCTGACAAAACTCATGAATGAATCTTGATCTTGGCGACTAGTGGAGGAATCCAGGATGTGCTTTTCATCCTTCTTTGAACTCATCAAGTGGATGTGCTTGTACCCCAAAACCCTTCGTTTGAAATACCAGAGCGTTATCTACCAAACCATTGCGACTAGGTAGTCACCTCTTATATGACGGGTATCAGTTGTTGGAATTATACTTATCTTATCGTGCCACAGTGACTTAGTGGATAACGTTTTGGTGTTTGAAGCGAATGATAGCGGGTCTGAGCCATATTTAGGAATAACATCACTCCGCACTTGGGTTCCAGGTACATTCAGCTGACAAGTCCAGAATAGGATAAAACGCATGTCCTGAATTTCTCTCTTAGTCACCAACATTAATTGCACTCATAATTACAACCCTCAATGAATGACTGAATACTTTAGTAAATGCTATAGGCATCACAATAATAAAGAGAAATCTGTCTGCGCCGAGGACTAGATACTATATATATATATATGAATTTTGAGGGAGTTGTGGGGATTTGGAAATATTTCAAGTTGTTATTCATGGTAGACTGACATCAGTTGGAGAGGAACAAAGGAAACCTGGGAGCACTGGACAGCTGTTTCGTTCTAGTATGGGACTCCTCAGCGGTACGTACGCACGACCCAGTGTCTGGTCACGTAACCTGAAGGTCGAGGGTTCAGGCCCTGGCGGGGTCGTGGGTGCGCACCACTGAGGAGTCCTATACGAGGACGAAACAGCTGTCCAGTGCTCCCAGGTTTCCTTTGTTCTTCTCCAACTGATGTCAGTCTACCATGAATAACAACTTGAAATATGTATATACATATATATATGAGATGAAAAGAGATTAACTTACCTTGAAAATGTTCCACCAACTATACAATGCCAATATGGTTGATGTTTATGATCAAATTCTGTTTTAATATAACGTGCAATTTCTTGTTCACTATCATGTTCATCGATTGCATTAGCAGCGATATAAACAGCATCTTCTTGCATAGCACGATTCATATCAGCATCTTTAATCATGGCTGTAATTTCTTTTACCATTATCAAATCGTAATTAATTATGCAAAAGATTAAAAATTAAGTAAATAATTCTTAAAATGTTTAATTAAATGAAAAAAAAGGAGAATTGTGCTCAACACTATACACCTTATTAATACTCATGTATATATATATATATATATATATATATATATATATATATATATATGCATGGACCAATGTATCTTGCATAAACATTTGTAGATAGACTTCCCAATGATGGAAGTAAATATTAAGTTAACTCTATATAAACAATTTATGGGTGTAGTAACCAATCATTCAACATAATAAGGCATATTATACGAATGAATAATAAATATATGCAAACATATATTTCATAGTATGAGTTTACTGTAGTGTACAAGAGAAAACTTAACAAAAGATAGGTGTAAACAGTTTACTTTCTTACATTGCAACTATTAATACTATTATTATTACTACTTTTACTATTATTATTATTACTTTCAAAAGAATGTTAGTGGTAATGATACTGATAATATTACATCATTCAATATATATTAAGATTATTCTATTTTGTGAATAGATTGATTTTTTACCTGCGTAGTTTACATGAATGAAATCAATAAAAAAAAAAGAGACATTTCAACATGATTTTAATACTAGTTTTTATTATTGATTGATAACAACTAGTGGATAAGGTTTTAGTGTTTGAAATTCTAGGTTCCAGTCTTGTCAGTGAGAAGAAAATCACTCACTAGGGTAAAGATATATCCGGTTGATGGGTCCTAAATAGGTCGAAACACATGTTCTAGACTCCATTCCAAGTTAATTATAACAAAAGAGCTGTTGAAAACCATTAACAACAGAAAACCAAGAATAAACAACTGTTTCATCTTAATTATTGAGTTTTAGTCAATGTATATGAACATTTATGTGCAAGACAGAAACTTAATGATGGTGATGATGATTGACTGTGTAAAGTATTATGTTATTATTATTATTATTTGTCTTTTGAGTTCCTAGTAGAACAAACGGCTTCAGAAACACGTCGCCCTTTCACTCTTTTCTCTAAAGTCTTCTTAACCTGGCTACACCACTGCCCGTAAGCTTACATTACTTACTCACACGATCTCATCTATATCAACCTCCGCAAGGACGCCCAACTCGTCGTTTCCCATTCGAGTTCCCCTCGACTAAGTCACCTGACCTGGTCTGGCGCATGATGTCCCCAATCGGTCTGCTCACTGTATGCTCAATCCAATCCAATCCATCTCAGCTTTCGTCTACATATTTGTTAGGCGATAGCATTTTCGTTGGTTGGGTGGTTGGTTGATTCGTTGCTAGTCACACTGACTTCCTCCTTGCTTACTCATTCTTATTATTCTCACCATCTGTCTGATCTTCATTGTCAGTATCAAGTGAGTGTAGACGGCAAGTGTTGATGATGAATGTCTGCAGTTGTTTGTTGGAAATGCTTTTCATAACGCATCGCTATGTCTCTCAACCATCACATAGCAGCACTGACGTGACTGACATTGGTGTTGAAAATCTGGATGTTGTTCGTGCTTTATCCTGAGTGGAGAGGAATGTAGTGTAGTGCAGTAGATCTGTACACTGATTTCAGATTAATGAAGGAAGGTGTGTCTTACTGTGTTTCCGATCACGGCTGTTCTCACATCCACATGTGTGTGGTCACCACCACGTGTAGTTGAGAGGATGCTGTCTTGCCTGAATAGGTTAATTAGACAACTTCCTCCCTCACATTTCTCCCTTTCATGGTGACTGGTGCTCGATGTTGTTGATGATGTTTGGTTGGATATCTTCATCACCTCTCTCCCTCTCTCTCTCTCCACATTCATCTGAAGTCAGTCCTGTCTTCACTGACTCACCTCACCTCTTCTGCCTCTTCTGCCTCTTCTGCCAACTTGACAACTCGCCTGTACATCTTCGAGTTTGTGTGACACTAGACATTCTACATGAATCGTCATGTGGGAAATCGAAATCTTCTTCTGGTGTCTTTTCATCAGTCTGACTAGCATATGTCCATCTTCTCACTCCTCACAGTTATCTGTTGCATGAAGTGGTTGATTCCAGTGAACCACAATGAGGGGGATGATTGGTGATCATAGTAGGTGGCAACCATGTCTTACTCCTGTCTTCACGTCAAAAGCATCACTAAGATCAGACTATGTAGGAAGAGAATTCATCATGGCTCAAGAGGTACTTGATGAAATTAATGAGAATAGAGAACTGTTTGCAGATTTCTGCGCAATCAACGTTTTAGTGATTGGAAGTAGTGTGTACAAACAAAAGGATATTCGCAAAGCGAGCAACATGGATTTCACCAGACACCAGGATATACTAAAAATCAGATCGACTTCATCCCAGTCTCAAGAAAGTGGAGACGCAGCCTACTGGATACAAGATCAAATCAAGATAGAGAGCAGATATAGGTTCAGACCGCTATCTAGTCCAAGGAATCTTCAAAATCATGTTAAAAGCCTTCAAAGAAGTTGGTGACAGACTATACTTCAAGTATTGAGACTATCTAACATTTCCTGTTAATATTTCTAAATGGTGACTAATTTTCTTCATTAACAGAGTATGACATTTCAAGTTCAATCTGTTTGGTACTTGAATGAAGAAAGTAACTGTAGATAAATTCAGATTTTTAGTTGATCACCTGATCAGTAAATTGCCATCGATAGTAATGTCAGCCTAATGGATAGTTAAATAATGTTGTTATTTTTTTAACCCAACAACTTTAAAGGGCACAGTATATGCGTGCTTTATTCCATTAAAAAACTATTTGATAAGTACAGTTAACATGAAACTACTAATATCTGACTAAGAATGTCCAGGAAACACTTTTGTATAAATTAAAATTAATCTATGGAAAATTATGGATTCGGTTGAATATTATTACTCTACAAATTTCTATTAATTCATATATTTCTAGATGTTTTCGTTTATCGATTTGACCAACTGACTTTCAACCAGTGAATTCTTCGTTTCAACCCTGTTCCATCTTGACGGTTGCGTAACTAAGTAGTAATATTAGAGGGCCATTGGACACTAGGTATATCTGATTGCGCATTTCATAAGCCTGGGAGTGGCTATTGAGTTATATTACATGACATGCAATGTATATTCAACGAGACACCATCTATTATAACATGTGATTCGCGAAGGAAGTTCTTTACGATAGTTACAGCAAGAAATATCATTGAACGAGGAATTTCCTCCACCTCAGGTTTAACTTAATACTTCCTAGATATATTATATGAATTATTCCAGAATTCTGTAAAACGTGGAAGATGTGCTACTGTCAACCTATCAATTCATCTGAAGGTTTTGTCTACATGCTACTACTCTTCTACTGTACTATATTACAACCATGATTAATGGACTGTTATGCAAGAATCTGCTTCTTCTTATCTGAGTAGACAACGGATGTGTTATCTGAATATAAATCAGTCAGTAAGTTTGTAATAATTTTACACTATTTTAAAATATTACCTCTCAACCTATAACCTATGTAAACTCGTCAATTCTCATGATTCCTGTTCTCTTGATAGTTGTGCATTAGAGAATATTACAAGTGTGATTTATTTCGGGGTGCGTTTTTCTTCGGATCTTTTCAGGTCCTTTCCTAGTGGCGTGCGCCTGTAATCTAGCTACTTGGAGGCCAGGGTATGGGATTTCGCAGGGCCGGGAGTTCTGGCATATGGGTGCTCATGTTGATCGGGCAATATGGATGACCTGTCGAAGGGCGGGTTGTCCAGCTTGTCTAAGGAGGGGCGGACCGGCCCAAGGGGGAAATAATATCTTACTAATTTCCAAAAGAATCTTCTGCCTAACTTTCGATATTAGAAGCTGAGAGTATCTGGTATAACTCAGTCTCTCCGCTTGTGTTTTATAAACTCCTGCATCTTGCCTGTTCTTCTCTATTGTTCTCCTTTATTCTTTCCTGGGTTGCTGAAAAAGACCATGCTATGCTGCTTAGAACTTTGAAGATTGTCAGCAGAATTAGATTGCTGTACCTCTAAACCTTCTAATTAAAACAGTTGTGGACAAACATATTAACTCATATAAACATCTGGTAGGATTTATTTTATCAGATGACCAACATCCTCTTCACTCGAAGCTCTGTACGTGTCGGTCATCTGGAAAGACAAAACTCAAGTACGTAAGACTCTATGCACCTACCACAAAATATAAAAACTCTACAATACCGTATTTAGGTCGTCCGTTGTACGTTGAATAAAGCATTAGAAAGGAATTAACTAGTCAACTGTTTTTGAAAGCAAACTAGATGAAGATGAGAGTGTTACTTTTTATGTATTAGAAATCTAATTGCCAATGTGATTGTCTACCTAAATTGACTGTGTATTTTGAAGAAAGTTGTAGATGGAAAGGACATTCTTTTGTTCATGTAATTTCTATTTATTTCATTTCGCTTAGGATACATGTACACTGTCCCTGTCCAATCGATGTGATATGACATTCTGAAAATTTTGTAGAGTATTCCCGAAATAGCTTTCACAATAAAGCAACTATTATTATTATTATTCGCCACTTAAGAGCACCGCGTTCTCGTTTATACTTAACTAGTTGTTGTAGATTTAAACTAACTGAATATGGTTTTCGCCTAAATTTTGAATTAGTTAAGCATAAGCTAACGGATTATAACCTAAAAAGCTGAAGAGCACATGATTTCCACGAGACGAGATAGTATCAGACTGGTTTCCAAATCGGGTCATTATTATTATTATTATTATTATTATTATTATTATTATTAGTCCCTTGGGTTCCTAATGGAACATAGGGCTTCAGTAGCACGTCTCCAATGCGCTCTGTTCTCTGAAATCTTTTCAACCTGACTCCACGACTGCCCACAAGCTCTCATTTCCTCCTCACACGATCTCCTCCATGTCACCCTCAGCTGGGACACCCAACTCCTCGTTCCCCTTCTGGGTTCCATTCGAGTGCCTGGCCTGATGCGTGATGTCCCCAGTCGGTCTTCTCAGTGTCTGCCCAATCCATCTCCACTTTTTTCGCATATGTGTTGAGTGACAGGTTCTTGGTTGGTTCGTTCCCACAGCTCCTTGTTGCTTATTCTTGTTATTCTGGCAATCCATCTGATCTTCAGTAACAAGCCAATGT